TCCCATCGTGGGAATCGAGATAACTGAATACAATTGTCGAAGTGTGTCACCGCTTGCTCATATAATAGGTGTCGTGTTTGGCGATTCATCGGGTGCGCGGTGAACCCTTGGTGGGGATCATGCTCATCAGATGTTGACGATTTGTCCGGTGAGCAGCGGCTTGAAAATGCATGCTATGAGGGCATGTGTATCAAAAAGAAATTAATTTCTGAATCAAAAAATAATTATTTACGTAATCAACAACAAATTAATTAGCTAATCAAAAAATATTTATTTTCTTTCCCGTCTCTTGTATGCTTGCCCCTGGTCCACATGGTCGTCCTGGTCCCCTTGGTCCCCTGGTCCCCTTGGTCCTCTGGTCCCCTTGGTCCCCTGGTCCCCTTGGTCCCTGGTCACCTCGTCGAAGGGAAGGGAAGGGAAGGAAGAAAAGAAGGGATCCAGGTAGGAGGCCGGCGCCTCGTCTGTACACGCGAAAAGTGACTCATCTGTACACGCGAATGATATACCTCGTCTGTACACGGGGACGCGCTGCTTCAAACTCACTCTCGCTCTCACTCTCACTCACTCACTCTCACTCACTCTCACTCACTCTCACTCACTCACTCTCACTCACTCTCACTCACTCACTCACTCACTCTCACTCACTCTCACTCACTCTCACTCACTTTCACTCACTCACTCACTCACTCACTCACTCACCCTTTTGTCCTTTTGTGGGCAGGGTGAAATTTCGAGAAGGAAGTGGCTATGCCAAGTTCACTCACCCTTTTGTGGGCCATGCAGGGGTAAAATTTAGAGAAGGATGTTGCCATTTCAACTTGACTCACCCTTTTGTGGGCAGGGTAAAATTTAGAAGGAAGTGGCCAGTCCAACTTGACTCACCCTTTTGTGGGCCATGCAGGGGTAAAATTTAGAGAAGGATGTTGCCATTTCTTGACTCACCCTTTTGTGGGCAGGGTGAAATTTAGAGAAGGAAGTGGTCACCCCAACTTGACTCACCCTTTTGTGGGCAACGCAGGGCTAAAATTTCGAGAGGGAAGTGGCTATGCCAAGTTCACTCACCCTTTTGTGGGCCATGCAGGGGTAAAATTTAGAGAAGGATG